AATGCAGTTTTGTTTGTATACGGACGTTGCGCCGCCGCCGATTTGGGATTGGTTTGCAGGGCAGGTCCAGGTCGGCCCGGGGAAGCGCGTCGACGCCGGCCCTCCTCGCGGGGGGCCCTGCCAAAGGGCTCCAAAAGGGCCAGGAGGGAAACTCGAGAGGCCACCCGCCGAAGGGATCCATCCTCCCGGGGCCCTCTCCTCTCCGGGGCCTTCCCGAAGATTTCCAGAAATTCGGAATGGGCCCCCAGACGGCCCGAAAGGGTTCCAAAAAGGCACCTTTGGGCCGCCCGGGAGGGGGGCCCTTTGGGTCAAAATGTATTGGCGCCCCCTTCTGGGTTCAGAGTCCTCAGCTCAGCTGCGTTTGCGCCTGCTCGGGGCATGTCCGGGACTTCGGGGGCGCGTCGCGGGGGGCCCGGGGGGCGTCTCAGAAGGGCCCAAGAAGGGCCCGAGAGTGCCCAAAGAAGGGCTCCCGACAGTGGCCCCTAGAGGGCCCTCTTGGGTGCCGCTGGGGGGGTTCCTCCTTGGGCCCTCTTGGGCCGCTCCTTGGGCCTCTTGGAGCCTCGTTGAACTCTCTGGGGGGCTCATTCGAGACTTCGGGGGGGCTTCGGCGGGGCCCCAAGAAGAAGGGCCCAAGAGGCCCAGGAAGATTCCAACAGGGTTCCAACAGGGCTCTAAGAGCGCTCCAAGAGGCCCCCCCAAAGAGGCGCAAAGTATGTGCACGAGCGTGCCTCTGTTTTGCGGGCCTCTGGGCGCAATCCTGGGTCCTTTTCGGACCCTTGTGGGGGCCTCTTGAGCCGTCCAGGGGCTTCTTTGGAATTCTTGCGGGGCTTGGGGGAGGCCCCGAGAGGGGTCCTGCAGGGCCCCGGGAGGATGAGGCCCGTTGGCTTTGTTTTGAGCTAGTGTTGCGCGGATCTAGAAGTGATTTTCCGGCTCCTCTCAGGCCGTCTCGGGGGGGGTGGGGGGGGGGGGGGGGGGGGGGGGCGACGTGCGGGTGGGCGGGGGGCGGCGTGGCGCGGATGAGTGAGCGTTGTCCTTGTGGGCGGCGGTAGGCACGGTTGTCTTGAAGGGCCCCGCGACCACGCGGCAGGGGCTGGGCGCGACCGGCGCCCGGATGAGGGCCGACAACGACGAGGGGCGCGCGCGCCGAGCGCAACCAGGCGTGCCCGGAATCGGGATTACGTGTGTGTTTCGGGATTTCGGAATCGCGTTTGACAAAACGTGTTTTTGTGTATATATATAAGATAGGTCTTGCATTCCACAACACAGTGATATCAGTATTTTATTGTCATTATTCCGGTATTTCGTAGGTTTGGCAGTTTGCAACGCTTGTAATATAGGTGTTTTGCAGAACCGATCGCTGTTTTAAAAGTTGCAATGTACGAGTTTTGAAAACGCCGCGGTTTGGCAGCCGGGGGAAATGCACCCGTGATGTTTTCCAAAACGCGCGCGCCCGCATTCGCCGGCGCCGTATTCAGAGCCTTGGAGGGCCCGAGGAGCCCCAAGACTTGTCTAAGATTGCCGCGAGCAGATCCCATGGGCGCCGGAAGGGGCCCGCGCGGGGGCCCAAGATTGCCGAGCGCGAATTGCGTGACTCGGGGGCGCTCTCGGGGCCCACCAGGGTTTCCCCGTGCCCTCGCACCCCGTCGCGGAGGCCATGGGGGCAAGAGAGCTCCGAAGAGCTAGCTCCCCACGGGGCCATATAAGGCGCGCTTGGCCCCCAAAGGCCCCTCCCAGAGTTCCTGGAGGGCCTTGGGAGGGCTCCTCAAGGGGCCTCCCTGCTGTCAAGGACGAGGGCCGCCATCTTGACCGTAGGGGGGCCCCTCTCTGGGTCTCTTGGGGCCCTCTCGGGGCCCTGCCTCGCAGGGCCTGTCCGGGTTTGGCGCGGCCAGGTGCGACCGGTTCGGCCTGCCCGCGGTTGGGCGCGCTTTCGCGGGGATTCGCGTGCTTCTGTGGGAGTTGTCGCATCAGTCGCGCCGTCGTGACATTGTGCTTCAGCATCGGGCTGGGGGTCAAACAGCAAAGTGGCGCGTGCCCGCGTTGATCCTCGCCTGTTCGAAATGGCGCGGGGGGTGGGTTAGAATGGGAGCGCCGAGGAACAAGTGTCATTCGCGCGCATGGCCCCGCGATAGATCCTGCGAAAGGGGACTGCTTACTGCTTGAGCATCCGTGCGCTGAGCAATTTTGTGTACCTTGTGCCTGTCGCGAGCTGCGGCGGCCTTGATTCCGCGGCAACTGACGCCCACTGCGACCCCCCCCCAAGGATCCAATAAGCGATGCCTTTGGAGGCAAGCGCGCGGATCCACGGGCGGCTAGCGCGCGCCGCGGCTTGCGCGGGGCGCGCGGTCCACCGTGCACCCCTTGGCAGCGGCGCTAGAGCGTGAGCCATTGCATTGTCGTCTAAGATTCGGCGCAGACGGTCTCTCGTTCATGACAAGGCAGCACAAAGGCATGACGTCAGCGAAAACAGCGGGCGCTGCCCGAACCTTCGGGCAACGGCTTTGTAACGACCGCGGCAATGTCCAGCGCGAGCGCCCATCACTCCTGCAACTTACTCCTGGTGCGTACACGTGCCCAGTTCAAACGCTCACGCAATGCGAAACGCGCGCGCATCCTCCGTATTCTGATGGTTCTGGAACAGGTAATGTGTGTTCGGTAACATAGGTGGCTTGAAAAGGCAGAATCCTGCTGTCTACTGTTCCTTATTTCGGAAAACACATGGTTGACAGATTTCTGACATAGTTTTATGTTTTGCATATATGGCTCTGCGTGGGTCCGCCCGGCAACACCGCGGTATTGCACGGTCTCCGTTCGCGCCAAAATGGCGGGGATATCTCGAGCGGTTTTCTTGTTTGCATGCCCAACATCCGCCGCTGTCGGAGCAGACTTGGAGGATGTTTCGAGCGAGGCGCTCAGTTTCGCCCCCCAAAGGGGGCCAGATTTGGATGATGTCTCGATCGGTTTGCTTGTTTGGTGGCCAGACTCGTGGGCACAGATTCCCCCCAGGATGCCACAGGAGGCTCCAGCAGGCTCCAGGAGGCCCCAGGAGGCCACATGAGGTCCCAGGAGGCATCAGGAGGCCACAGGAAGATTCAAGAGGCCACAGGATGTCGCAAGAGGCTCCAGGAGGCCCCAGGAAGCTCCAGGAGGCTTCAGGAAGCTACAGGAGGCCACAGGAAGCGCCAGGAGGCCCCAGAAGGCAACAGGAGGCCCCGAGAGGCCCCATGAACAGGAGGCTTCAGAAGGCAACAGGAGAGGCTCCAATCCCATGCGGTTTGCGTATGCTCCTATAGATTGGGCCTCACCTGGAGCACGAATCCTTGATGTTATACGTCTGTCTCTATGTATTGTCCTTCTCCTGTGTATACAATCCTAAATGTGGTACATCTGTTCCTATATATTGAGCCTCCCCTGGAACACGAGTCCTTGGTGTTTTACGCGTGTTCCTATAGGCTCCAATCCGCAATGTTCTATGTATGTTTGGTTCCTACAGATTGGGCCTCTCGTAGGGCACGAATCCTCCCTGGGAGGTCCCAGGAGGCTCCAGAAGGCCCCAGGAGGCCATGCGAGGCTCCAGGAGGCAGCAGGAGGCCATTCGAAGCCCCAAGATGCTCCTGGAGGCCCCAGGAAGCCGTAGGAGGTTCCAGGAGGCCCCAGGAAGCCCCAGGCTCATTCGCAGAGACGCGTTCGTACTACTGATAGTCATTCACATTCCAATTAATTCGCAGTTATATTCATGACCAGACCGTCACAACTCAAGCCCGCTTATATTCGAAAGTCCTTGTGCCGAGACACTCGCGGCGGACAGGTCCATGCGAATTGATGCACATATGGGGAGCTCCACGCAGTGACATTTGTTTGTGTTATCTCTCTCTCTCTCTCTGTTTCTCCTCTCCCTCTTTTCCTCTCTCCCCTCTCTCTCTTTGCTCTGCTCCCCCTGCTCTGAGACGTGCGCGCGCGTGCTTCATAATTTTCTCCTCCCGCGCTGGCCCGCGTATGGGGTTGCGTTGCGCGCAGTATTTCAAGTTGCAGACACCAGTACGCCACCGCTGGCTAGCCAAGATGTGGCCCGTTATTTCGCGGCTCGCTAACGAGGGACGATTCGCCACGGCCAAAACGCCATTCTGACCGTTCAGTCGCTCAGGCGCCAGGAAAGGGGGGCTGCGTTTCATAGATCTCCGGCTTTTTGTATCGGTTGCGTTCAGCCCCATAGTTCTGCACGAACGAAATGGGCACGGAAAGAATGGGCACACTGCCCAACAGCGGATCTTGCTCATTTTGAATAGGACTCGCTGTCCACGCCGCCGCGGCTTGTGCCCATTCAGGACAGAAGGCCGCCTGCCCAACAGCGGCCGCTGTTGGTTTGGGACAACATCTGTTGTTGGGCAGTGTACCCATTCTTTCCATACCCATCTCGGGCGTCCAACATCGCGATTTTAAGCGGGCAGCCGCTTGCCGCTACCGTCCTGGACACTGTCCGCGTTGTTGGGTTTCTCTCTTTCTCTCTCCCTGTGTGTCTCTCTCTCTCTCTATATGTATGTATCTCTCTCTCTCTCTTTCTCGTCATACCTTTCTCTCCCTCTCTCTCTCACTCTCTTTCTCTCTCTCTCTGGCTCCCTCTCTGTGTCTCTCTTTTCTGTCTCTTTGTGTTATCGCTCTCTCCCTCTCCGTCAGCCTCACCACTCTGTCAGACTTGTTTCTCTTTCTTGCCATCCAATTATACTGCTACTCTTACTGCCCTGGCTCCCCCTGCACTCAGCCATCCTCATCCTATTGATCTGTTTGCTTCTGGCCAACATGTCCCGACTGGTTGTATTCCGCCTTCAGTCGTCATGTCACTTAGTATGGGGAGTGAGGTAGAAGCAGGAATGAGAAAAGAAATACATAGCGGATGAGTTGGGGGACGGTGGGGGGAGCAGGAGTTTCTGTCAAATCGCACCGCGTGCGCGTGTCCATTCCAGACCACTTCGCGCCCGATCTGTCCCCCAGCTCGCCCCAAAAAGGTCATATCGCTGGTCGTATTCGTCGGATACTCGGTGACCTACTCCCTGCACGTAGCGCACAACTACAGCGAGGCATTTGCCGACGCATGCTATAGTAAGGTGTAGTAGCAGGATTTCAGCAGTGCTTGGGGTACTCGCTATTTCGGTCGAGCTCGCCCGAGAGGACGTCAGTACCAGCCACCACGGGCGGCATTGTGTCTTTACGTCAGGGATTGTATCCCGCCACCGTGCCAGCCCAGCAACTTGGGTGGCGACTGTTCGAGGGGGCGCGGGAGACCGTCACGTGGGGCACCTTTTTTATCTCAAGGTTCGGGAGAGACTTGACCAGGATTCTGAGGATGATGACGATATTGACGATGGCGATGATGATGATGATCATGACGATGATGGCGATGATGATGGATTGTGAATGTGATAAGTATGGTGATAATGTTGATGAGTATGATGGTGATGATGCCGATGACGACGCTGATGATGGTGATGGTGATGGTGTTTGTGTTGGTGATGGTGATGATGACGATGATGTTGATGATAGTGGCGGTGATGATGATCATCATCATGATGATTATGCTGATGATACTGGTGATGATGATGATGATGATGATGATGGTGGTGGTGGTGATGATGATCATAATGATGATGGTATTAATTAAGCTTGATGGTGATGATGATGGTAATGGTGATGATGCTGTTGCTAATGGCGGTTATGATGGATGGTCGGTGACCGATGACAATTGGCCGATGATGAGGAGGAGGAGGAGGAACACGAGGAGGAGGATGAGGATGAGGAGGACGAGGATGAGGATGATGATGAGGATAAAGATGAGGATGAGGATGAGGTGGAGGATGAGGATGAGGATTATGATGATGATTATGATGATGACGATGTCCAGGTTGAGGATGATGATGATGATGATCATGATGATGAGGAGGATGAGGATGAGGATGAGGATGAGGAGGAACAGGATGATGATGATGCTGATGATGCTGATGGCGTTTTTCATGATGACGGTGATGATGGGGAGGAGGATGAGGATGAGGATGAGGAGGATGAGGAGGATAATGATGACGGTTATGATGATGTTGATTGATGGTGATGATGAGGAGGATGACGACGACGAGGACGAGGTGGATGAAGAGGATGATGATGATGACGATTATGATGATGATGATGATGATGAAAAGGAGGAGGAGGAGGAGGCCGAGGCCTTTTCTCTGCCCTCTCAGACCGCCAGCAGACGGCCCATAGGCGAGCCCCTCCTGGGAAAGGGGTCCGAGTTCTCCGGGCAGGGCCGCCCATCATATCCGATCCGACGCGTCTCGATCCGCCAGCTGGGGCCGCCATTCCGATTTGATCCAGGGTCAGCCGGAGCCCGGCGCGGCGATCCGTTTTTGCTCCGATGCGGGACGAGTCGCTGGCGATCCGCTCCGCTTCCGATCCGATCGGACTTCGCGATTCGATTCAGCTCAGGCCTGCCAGGGGCCTGCGTCGCCAAAAAGCTGCAACGTTCGAGGAGAGGGTTCGGTACGAGGCAGGCACGTAGTGCGGGCCGGCACGGGCTGCGCGCTGTCTGCCGAGCTGGGCGTGGCAGGCACGCTCCGCGCTGACACGTGTCCTGAGGACCGTCGAAAGCACCACGTGGAGCGAGTTGGAAGCAGCGGTCGCGCGCAGATGTGCAGCGTCGCGAGGAAGCATTGCAACGACAGAGGAGAGGGTGGTTCAAACCGGATGGCGGGGCAAGCTGCGTTCAAAGAGGGACGGTCGATCGCAACATGATGATGACGATGATGAAAGATGTTGATGATGTTGATGTTGTTGAAGATGGCGATGATGGTCGATGACCGATGGTCGATGATGATGAGGATGACGATGACGATTATGATGATGACGACCATGATGATGATGATGCTGTTGATGATGAATATGACTATGATGACGATGTTGATGATGATCATTATGGTGGTGGTGGTGATGGTGACGATCGATGGCCGATGAGGGTGATAATTGTGGTCATGATGATGACGATGATGATGGTGAAGATGCTGATGATGACGATGATGCTGCTGATGATGATGATCATGATGATGATGATGATGATTGATGATGATGATGATGATGATGATGATGATGATGATGATGATGATGATGATGGTGATGATGGTGATGCTGGTGAGTGTGATGCTGTTTATGATGCTTCTGCTGCTGATGTTGATGATGGTGATGATGATGCTGGTGTTGATGATGATGATGATCATGCTGAATAGTGATGGCCGATGATAATACGTAATCATGGTCACGCTCTTGATGCTGATGATGATGCTGATGAAACTGATGATGCTGATGGTGATACTGATGATGATGTTGTTGATGATGACATGTATGCGGATTATGGGCTGAGGGTGATGATGATGATGGTGATGGTGATGATAACGGTAATGATGATGATGACGATGATGACGACGATGGTGTTGCTGTTGTTGTTGCTGTTTCGGATTATAGTGATGATGCTGATGATGATAGTGATGTTGATGATGCTGTTGATAAGAATGATGATGACGATGATGATGGAACTTCCTTTTTGGTTGTCGTGGGGCTGTCGTGGCTTCAAATGGGGAAGTCGTGTGGGGTCCTTGGGGCCCTCTTGGGCCGCCTGAGGGTCCTCTGGCGACAGCTCCAGGTTTCTTGGACAGTCTTCGGGGCCCTCCTGGACGTGTGGTGGGCGGTTTGGGGCCGCCGTGAGGCCGTCTTGGCGCCCTTTTAATCCGTCCAAGGGCCTTCTAAGGCCGTTTTGGATCCCACGGGAGGCCTTCTTGGGGCGTCTTGGGGCCGTCTTGGATGCTTCTTGGGCCATCATGGAGTCATCGTTGGCCGTCTTGAGCTGACGGTAGCCCGACCAGGCGAGAATGCGAAAGTCATGCAAATGTTTCAGGGGCAAGATGGCTTGGGCTTCTGCGGACCCTGTTGGCGGTCCTTTTGTGGCCCTATTTGGCATGCTTGGAGGCATTTTGGGCCGCCTTGAACGCATAGTCGGCTGCCTTGGGGCTACCTTGAGCTGTTTTCGAGGCAGATTGGGCCATGTTGGTGTGCTTGGTTGCTTGCACGGGCCGTCTTAAACGCTCGGGGCTCGTATCCATATTTGTTTCACGGGGGAGCGTTGTTTGGGAGGCCCTGGGGCGCTTAGGGGCAGCGCTTGGGAATGCGGGACGTGCACGACCCTCGAGCGGGTGCGCGTGAGATGATGGGGTTTATGAGGTAGCAGCCATGCGGGAAGTGCGCAATCCTCTAGCGGACGCGCATGACGTGAGGGTTCAGGCATCCGCTGCCACGCGGGAAGTGCACCATCCTTGAGCGGGCACGCGTGGAATGATGTATTAGGCATTAACTGCCATGCTGGAAGTGCACCATCCTCGAGCGGGCACGAGGGCAATGGTCTCGGGAAGGGGGGGGCGGTGCATGCGGCAGTCTGTGGGTACAGAGAAGGGGGGGTGGGCTTCTTAACATTCAGAACCGTACCGTACCAGACAGACCTTGGCATTATTCCACGCCTCAACGTGCCAGTGGACACGGTTGCGGGTTGCCATTAACCGCGTTGTTTGGTGCTGCGCGGTTGCATCGAGAGAGTCACGAACAGGAGCTTTGGTAGCAGCCATGCAGAATTAATGGTTTACACGGCTCCAAGCGTTTCTGTTTATCCGTGTTGGATATTGCAGTGACCCAGCGAACGGGGAAGAATGTGCACATTATGGTGACCGAACGGGATCACACCACAACGGCGGGCTTTTCTGGTGTCCTTGAATGGGGACATGTTTTAGTAAGAGTTCTTGAGTTCGTTTGCGACAGCAACACTGAGAGGGTGTGCAGTTGACCTTGGTGGAACTGGAGCGCGACGAAGGGAAGACAATCGGAAAGGGGCCAGGCATGCACCACGAGTAAACTTGCGGCACCAGTGAGTCCCATCTGCGCCCTAACTCTTCCTTCTGCTGTCCTTTGCTCTCCCAGGTTTCCTATTTCTCTATCGTCTTACCACCTCTTCCCTTCCTACTCGCTCCTCCCTCCCCGCTCTCTCCCTCCCCTCCTCCCTTCCCTCCTCCCTTCCCTCCTCCCTTCCCTCTCCCCGTCTCCGAGGTTGAACCATTTAACTCGTTTCCATATGCTCTCAAGTTTCCGCTTTCCTTCTCTCTTTTCTTAGGGTTGGGGCATCGGCGATCCCTGACAACGGGCGTCAGGAGCAGCCTGAGAGTGGCAGTTGGAGTTGTTGTTACCGTCGCCGTCGATCCCGCCGCCGCCACCAGCTTGCAGGCCTGCGCGTCATCATTGTCGTCGTCAACGATCCCTACCGTCGCCATGCATATCATCATCGTCATTGTCGCTATCGTCGACCAATAGAGTTTGGCGAACATTTTGTTTGCGGGCATGTGGAACTTTTGCACGAGCATTAGAATGATCACGCGCGGATAAGGTCGAACATACTTGCACCATTATCGCACCGCGTAGGTTGCCCTCCCTAGGTAGCGCAGCATTGATTGCACAACATATATTGCACACCATGTATTGCATCCTACATTTCCCACCGTGCGGAGTGTAAAACGAGAGTGCAATGGTCCAGACTTTCGTGCCCACGGTGTCAGACATCCTTCGATCTGTATCCGTCCACCCTATGACCTCCAGCTTCGACGCTTGTACTCTTTGCCATCCATTATGTGCCGTGTACTCTTTGCCGTCTACTATTTCATTTCCCGAGTATTGGATGCGCGGCACCGCCAAGCCCCACCGATGCTTGATGGCCCCTGTCATGCGCCACTTATCGCTCGCGGCCGGGGATGCTGCGTGCTCGTGAATGTGATCATCAACACCTTCTACTCCAACACGGTGCATGTCCGGCTGGACCATGTATTTGCATTGGGCCGCTTAGCCAGATCGTGGCCGCGCCTGCGGCTGTTTCTTCAGAGCCAGCATCCGATCTTCTTCGGTGGACCGCCCGAATGCCTCTTGAATGTGTCAGTTTTGTGACCACGACCGAGCGGATCAACCGCAGCGGCACATCGGCACCCAGATCCCCTTAAACGTCGATGCTTTCATGGAGGTCACTTTTGTGGCAATCGGCGCCCTTTCCATGATCGTGCGGAACTTTCGGGTGCAGACGGACCTAGCGTCTACCGCTATGGTGTGTTCGCGGAGTCAGAGGATACGAAGGTGAAAGGGGCCTCTTGCGAGCGGGAGACTCTGAGGTGGTTCGATGAGCCGTGATTCGTTTGTCCTCCCTCCTCCTCCTCCTCATCCTCCTCCGCCTTTGTGCAATGGCGTGAACAGGAAAGAGCCCTGGTCCCCCTGGTGGCGCCTTGTTTTCCTTGAGGCTTGCCACCTGACGGGGGCAGTGTGGCCTCGTGCCGAGAGCGAGAGCGTAGCGATGTGACTGGTCATTGAAGGACCCCTCAGAGTTCCAGTAGATCGACAGCGGCTGCCTAGGCATGTAGTTGATGCAGATCTGAACTCCACAAGCAGGATTATGGTTCTACTCTGCGCACTTTACTCTTCACTATCTACCCTGTGCTCTATATTATGTCTGCACTCCAATCGAGGATCCTGGAACCTGAAACCTTGTAACCGGAGCTCCGCAGACCCGGCTGTTTATCGAATTCGATTTCCAAATCACGTTGAACCTTCACACCTTGGATGACTTGTGCGATCTCCTGTTCGGACCACCCGAGCTCGCCGCGTTGTTTAATTTCCGCCCCTTCCCTCCCCCCCAACGGCGATCCTCAAACGCCCAATGTTTCGCACGAGGCGGCCAATTCTTCAGCGCAGAAGTCCATGGACATTGCCCCCCCGTCCGTCCCCAGACTCTGCCGATCACCTGTCTTACGCACCACCGCGGGCGAGAACGACGGCGCATCCGTCAGTCCCTCCCGCAGCCGCTCAGGCGCCTTCGGGTTCACGCAGGCCCTGCTGGACGCGCATCAGGTGCGCCTCTTCCGCGATCTCCCTGCCATCATGAGGACATGGCATCGCGAGATCGTGAGTCGACGGGTACCCACAGCCCCACACTCACTCCAGCGGCAGCCCGGGGCACCAGCGGCTAGGAGTACGCCGATGATAATGCCAACCGAGCCGCTCCACACGCTGCAACCGCGACGGGAGTTGCCAGTGCTACCAGCTTTGACGCCATGGGCGTGCACTCGCCTGTTCCATCGGAGGGCACGCTCGCAGACATGCGGCGTCCTGTTTTCTTCAGTGCGCGGTCCCTGGGAGTCACGACTTATTCCCCAGGGCCGATTTTTCTTCTTGAATCGTTTCTTGACGGTCTTTGGGCCCGGCGAGGGCCCAGCTGGCCGAAACCATTTCAAAATACGCCAGTTTTTTTCTTTCTTGTAAATATAGTGCGCGCATTGCAGGGCCAGGCGGCCCCGCGGGCGCTTTCCTCCCAGGAAGATTGCGGCGCACGGCGCCCATCTCGCAGGCACCACGCTCGCCGCGCATTGCGCCGCGAGCGCGCTTCCTTCGAGTAGGAGATCGGGTGTAGCACTGATTGTTCCATCTTTGACCTTCTCGTCGGATCGCAACATGATGCTCATAAGTTTCGTAGGTTTACGAACATTCGACACACTGTTCGCAGACTTGGCGAACAATGCGGAGGTACATCAATCCTGCAGTCGAACTCCTACTCGGACGGTCACGTATTACTGCACCTGGTCTGCGCGGCGCGGAGCCCCCTCGGCAGTTACAGGCAATAATTTGACCGTAGGGCCTGGCCCGCCCACGGACGACACGCTCGCCTCTCCTCTCTGGGGCGCGGCGATCACGCCTTCTGATCGATGGAATTCTTGAGTCTTGCCGCCCCCTCCCCCCAGAGCTTTCGGCTGGCAGTGAACTCTGCGCGTCCCCCGGTTCGCCCTGTCCTCGTCCCCCTCATTCTCCTTCTTCTCCCCCCCTTCTTCTCTTCCTCCTCGACGGCGGCGGCGGAATAATCATTTACCGATTATTGTTGGGCATTGGCAACCCTCAGTTAGGAACGGGGCAATAGTTATTTTCCCATAAATGGGAGGCTACTGAAGACCTACCGCGGTTACCAACACCGCCACCGCCGCCTCGGCGTCTGGTGGATTTCTGCTGTCGTACGAGCTCGACACTGAGTGAACGCTCGTCGCGGACTGAGGACCCTTCGTATTGATTGGCTTTTCCTGCCCCTCTCCCTCATACTGGTTCCTTGCGTCCTCTTCCTCCTCCTGACCGTCCTTCTCCACACGTCGTCAAACTCAGCACTGCAGACTATCCCCACACTATAGCGCACGCGCCCGCGATGTGCCATGCCACGGGCGGCGATGTGCGCCACCTTCGCGGTGCCGCCGGCAGCGTCGCCCCGTTCACGGGGGAAGGATGGTTGACATTGGGGGGTTCCCGTTTTTCTTTCCAAGGGGTTTTCGAGTGAGAGGGGGGGGGGGGGCAGAGATGACTGTCGCTGTCGTTTCACACCAGAAGAAATATGGATTGCCCCTCGTGAGTCTCTGCCGGGCCTCCAGAAGCCTCCAGAGACCTGTTCCTCGGGAGCTCCCGGGTACCTACTAGACTTCTGGGGCTCTCCGCGCAGACCTCTCGACGGGTTTGGCTACGGCGTGGCATCGGCCCCCGAATCGCCGTTCATCGCTGATCCAGGTTTAGGTGCCCCACCCTGCCCTGGAACTTGCGGCCCAGCTGTCGAGGGCGTATCGCCGATCTGTCGCCAATGGTTCGTCGATTCCATGCCAATGCCCCAGTCCCTGAGCCAGACCCCACTCCTTCGCCCCCCTGGTGGACGAAAACATGTTCAATCGCACACTTTGCACACGCATTGGAGCAATGATGCTCCCATATCCCATCGCGTGCGGCTGGTCGGGAGACAATTTGACGCTTGACTCGACAGGATCTGGCGAGGGACACGACATGCCGAATTGGGTCGCCGTGCTTGGTTATGCAGGCATGACGGTGCCAACTCGATCAGGGCCACGCTGACGTCTACCAGGTCTTGCCAGAGCCAAGCGAAACAACCCTACGACAGTATAAGAAATCGGCCATGGTATCCCTCAGAAGTCTTTTGTCCTGAGGCGTCCCAGCGACCTACAAGCTGGCTTCTTCCGTGTACGCGGCCACCGAACATCTCCCCGTGGCATTCTTATTGCCGAGTTGCTTGATCCTCTGCGCTGGCTGCGCACATACTTAGAAGCAGCTTGACTTTTGTTTTTACTGGCCCCGTTGGGTTGCTTGATTGTCACTTGGCACCCCTACCCCTGAAAGGGTCTGGACCGCCAGGCGATTACCGATTACCGCGACCGCACCGCGTGGAGGGTTGGCAGACGTGAGAGCAGGAGGAGGGGGGGGCCCAGCTGGAGGCCCATTTCGGTCCCAAGGACCCACAGCAAATGATTCGCGGCGTTGGGGGCTCCAGGACGCTAAAATGCCGAACACATCAGGGCGACAGAGGTCTGGGCCCCTGGGGTAGTTATGGTTGTGAATATATGTTGCTGACTTTCGCGAGCATCCTGCCAACCTGCATTCCACGCATCAGCAGATCTTGTACCGCTCATGCGGTTGTTGTGGTCAGTTTAGTCTCTCCAGGCTCACTGGCGTCATCGCCACCATCCTCATCCAGAGGCACGCCCAGGGTTGCTCGCAAGCCCTCCTCCGCCCGCGGCACATCCGTCCTCCCTCGAGCCTCCCGCATCCCGCCTGCCCCACCTCCTGCCACAGGCAAGCCAGAGCAGCTGGGTCCACTGTCGCCGTCGAAGGAGCGCGCGCAGCCGACGCCAAGCAGGCTCTCGGACCTGGACGAGCCTTGCATCAAGGTGTGCGTCAGGGTCCGTTGCTGGATTGCAGAGGAGAAGACTGGTGAGCGAGGAGGTCCAGACGTCCTGAGGTGTTGCGTGGAAATGCCACGGAAGACCTCGGTGCAGATCAAGAAGGGGGACGAGCCAGCCCGGTCCTTTGAATATGATCGTTGTTTCTGGTCTTTTAGCGACAACCATCCGCTGTACGCGACCCAACAGACATTACACGACGAGGTCGGCTGTCAAATGATCGAGAACGCCATGGCGGGGTACAACAATTGCATATTCGCTTACGGGCAGACTGGGAGCGGCAAGAGCTACAGCGTCCTCGGCGGCAGAGGCGAGCAGCGGGGTCTGCTGCCGCGTGTGGTGGAGGGCCTCTTCGAAAGGATCCAGGGACCAAAATTGAGCACTACCCTGCCGAATCACGGCAATGAGTCGGTACTTAGAGAAGGGACAGGAGAGGGGAGGGGAGAGAGGGACAAGCTACAGTCAACCCGCATAGGAAGGATGGGCAACCCTCCCAAGGGTACCCTTGCATCCTTGCCCCTTCGGCCCATCCGTAGCGACTCTCACTGGCCAATCTAGTTCGAAAAGCGCTAACGTGGCCCTCCAAGGCCCTTGCGTCCTTACCGCGCATCCTTAGTATACGGGTTGACTGTAGGTGCGCTCGCGCCATATCTGACATCCTATCCCTCTCTCCTATCCTTTCCCATCGCACTGTTTTCCCCTATCCGCGGATACGGAGGGAAAGCAACGAGGGCAGTTGTATTTCCGTTGGTCCCTAGGTTCACCCAGCTGGGTGAGGGCGTCACAGTGAAGGCGGTAGTGGGCTTCATCGAGATTTACAATGAGAAGCTCAGAGACCTCCTTGCGTCCGACGAGACCTCCGACCCGAAAGTGACATTGGCTGTGCGAGAGCACCCAGTTCTCGGCATCACTGTGCCAGGCCTCACCCAGACATTGGTCGTGAATTGCAAGGAGGTTCTGGACCTCGTGGAGTATGGCGCCTGCAATCGCCGCACTTCCGCGACAGCGATGAACGCGACCAGCAGCCGGAGCCATTGCATCTTTTCCTTTAAAACAAATATCCATTTTGGGGATCAAGTGACGTTGTCCCAGACCCACCTGGTGGACCTTGCCGGGTCCGAGCGGCAGAAGCGCACGCAGGCTGCTGGGGAACGGTTGAAGGAGGGCGCGGCTATCAACCAGAGCCTCTCCACTCTGGCGCGCGTGATCTCTGCTCTGGCGGATATCTCCAAGAAGAACGGAAACCCGCCTTTCCGCACATCGAAGTTGACGCACATTTTGAAGGAATCTCTCTGCGGCAATTCGAAGACTGTCATGGTGGCGGCAATCTCTCCCTCATTGGCTGACTATGACGAGACGCTTTCCACCCTGAATTTTGCAAAGAGCGTCAAGAAGGTCCAAACGAAAGCGACAGTCAATGTATTGAGCTCGGCGACTCTGGAGCAAGCGCTGCGTGAGGAGGTGGAGGCCTTGAAGGCAAAAGTGCAGATGGCGCAGGAACAGCAGCTTGAGCCCGCGCAAGATTCCCGGTTGCAGCAAATTCAGGAGATGATCGACAAACAGAACCGCTACATGGCAATGATGGGCCTGAAATCAGAGAAGGACTTCGAGGCCGTCCGCAGCAAGGATCTTGCGATGGCTAAGCGGAGGACTACGCTCGTCATGAGTGGGCAACTGGGCAACCTCAACGACGACGAGGGGGGCTCCGGCAGCGAGGAGGAGTGGGACGGAAGGGATCCGGACTGCGACCCAGGCAGTCCACCAAACAGTCCACCTTCGCGAAGGTCGTCCAAGTCCACCCAGCGCTCACACGCTGACGCCAGCAAGAGCCACACTGCGACGGTGCTTGCGCGAGGCATGTGCAGCACACGTGGCGAGGCCGAGTGCGTCCTGAAGCTGATGGGGCGGGAGAGCTGCTGCGCCAAGTGCCCGTCGGGCGTGGAGGCACTGACGGAAAGGCTGCAGCAGCTGCAGGAGATGGCCGATCGGATCGCCAGCCTGGCTCCGGGGCGGGTGGACGTGCGCCCCCTGGTCGCCGTCTACGCACGCGAACCGGCCCGCGTGGACGTGGTGGTGCGCGCCGCGGCGTCAGTGGCCGGGCAGGCATCCCTGCGCCGGGAGAGGTTCGGTGGTTCAAAGATGGGGCCCTGCGGGATGGGGTTCTAAGGACAAGGTGCCTCAAACCATGCAAATCCACCCTGGATCCCTTTCTATCCCTAACCCCATCCCTCAGGGCCCCATCTTTGAGCCACCGAGAGGTGGCTCTCGTCGGAAGAGTTCAACAGCCGGGCCAGCAGCATTGCAGCGGCCGCTGGCCGGGGCGGATCCTCTGGGAGCTTCGGCCCGGCCGACGCGTTGCTTGCCGGGAGGAGCGACGACCTGGAGGCGGAGGGTCTCCGCCAAGAGCTGCGCCGGGTGCGGGACAGGACCCAGGCCGCCAGGGCCGAGCTGGCACGCTTGCGCGCGGTCAGCGGCGCTCCAGCGGGACCTGGGCCCCATCCAGCAGATTGCGAGGCCGTGGTGAAACTTCAGGAAGCCCTGGCGGCGCTGGACCAGGCGCAAGACCTCGTGAGTGGCGTGGGAGAGGACGGCGGGGGTCGTCAGACCACGGGGACTCTCCAAGCCCTCTGGGACCAAAACAAGTGCGAGCCTCCCGACGTGCGCTGCCTCTTACGGGGACGCGGGCGCCCGTCGCGCGTTCCCCCATCTCCTCGCTGCCAGCGCGAAGCTGGAAGCTTGCCATGGAAGTTCGAAGCTTGTAGTGGGTGGCAATGGCCCAGAGCCGATTCATCTGGGCTGTGGCAGGAAGGAGAAAGTAGGAGGTATCTAGGGGTTGGGGAGCTGGAGGGGGCCGTGGGAGGGGTAGGTGACGAGGAGGGGAGGAAGATGGGGGGGACGCGGCGGGGAGGGGGAGGAGCAAGGATGCGCTAGGGGGCAGGAAGAGGAAAAGGGGTAAGATGAGGACAGTGGAGAGGGAGGAGGATCCGTACCGCTTCAGAATCCGATTAAGAAGTGGTCAACACAACCAGCCTCCCTCTCTTTGACCGCTGTGGATTTGGGGTCGGGGCGGTTTTTGCAAAGACGTTCTGGACGGGGAGCAGCTGCAGGAGGAAGCGGATTGAGCCGCGGCGAGCATTGGTGAGGCCCAGCAGGGCGACACGCACTTCGCAGCTATCATGAAGAAGCTCGTCAGGAGCCCCGCTCACAGCTGAGCACCTCCCCCGCCAGCCGCAGTCCCCCTTAGAGTTAGAGGAGGAGGAGGAAGAGGAGGAGGAGGAGGAGGAGGAGGAGGAGCAATACTTGTGTTGACACATGTATTTTGACATGTTGTTTGATGAACTTGGAGACCCTCGTTGCCACAGCTGATTTCTCCTCGAGCTTGTGGTCAGAACGCGTCCTAGCAGAGGTCTGAGGTTCGGACTGTCGACTTCACGGCTTCGCGATACGATCATGCCGAGCTTTGCGAACAGATCATGACGATTTAATTTTGATTGCCGGCGCTGAAGCTGTCAAGCACGACCAGCGTCGAAAAGCTGGTCCTGGAGATGGGGTCGAGATTTCCAGGGCGGGTGCACGGCAGCTCTGGGCCTACGTATCTTCCACCAGAGCAGTCATTGGACGTTCCGCGCTGTGGTACATTACGGGTTGCCATCCGGCGTCTCGTCGTTCTGTGCATGATGTTGCTTTCGTTGCAAGTACATGGACTTGTTTCCGTATCCGGTCTATGATTGTGGTTTGTTGTCATGATGTTGTTGTTGTTATTATTGCTCCTTATTGCTGTCTTCCTCGCCCACACTTTTCCTTCTCATCCTCCCTTCCACTCCTTGCTTCGACTGGTGAAGCAAGAATGAATATTTCGCGTGGGCTGACATGTTGTAACCATCGGGTACGGAAGGGTATGGCAGCCAAAAGCAACATCCAAGGAATAGAGGCTGCGCAGGAGTAAGTAGAAGAGGGGCGGTAGGACGCGGAATACGAGGACAACAACGGGGAGGACGAGATCGAGGACACTCAGGATAATATGGCACGGTTGTCGAGTTTTGCCCGCATGGGCCCCAGACAGTGAGTCATTGCACTGTGGGTATGTAAACTATGCCAATGTGATGGAAACTGCTTGGTGTAAGTTATGGTGTTCAAATGTAGGTTGTAAGATATGTGGTGGAGGGCGTGGTGTGAGCATTGTGAAGAAAGCTACCTGATGTAAGCTCAAACTAGGTGGTGAACGCTATGCGGCGTGAGCTATTAAGTGCTAGTTTTGTGTTGTACAGGTATGCGGTGCAATCTACGTGGCGTAGAGTACGTGATGCAAGCCGTGTGGTGTCAGCTATACGGTGTCATCTATGTGCGCGAACGCGGGTGGCCAGGGGCGGGCACCAGTCGGAACCTCGACACACCCTCCCAGCGCACAAGGCGCCAACGAGGCGGCCACGGGGGGCACCAGGCGAAACCTCGGCTTACCCATCCAAGCCCGTATGGACTCAAGTAGGACCCCCTAGCGCAACCACTGTTTGGGGAAATGAGTGGGAGGACGACGACGGATGGGGGGCCGCCAGGGACGCCGAGGACCAGGGGGATGCGGAGGAGGCGGAGGAGGCCAGAAAAGGTACAGGGCTCTGGCGGGGACCGAGCGCGACGGCGGCAGCAGCAGCCTGCCCCGTACCAGCGTTGGTGGCGACGCCGCGCGAGGGAAGGGGTGCCCCGACGACGAGAACGGCGCACGCCGCGCGAGGAAGAAAGGCGGCAAATGGAGCGGTGCCGACGCCGACGCCGACGGCTCCACTTACACGCTGAACTCTGCTGGGTACCGGGAGGCCCATTCGCTCTGTCCTGTTTCCGTCTCTCCGGTCTATGTTGTTCTTCCCATCTCTCTTGCCTCCCTTCTTTCGTTCGTTCTCTCTCTCTCTCTCTTTCTCTCTTCATCTCTGCTTTTCCTTCCTCCTCGCCGCTCCCTCACTCCACACCCTCAGCTCTCTTTCTCTTTTTCCTCCTCTCTCTCTCTCTCTTTCTCTGTGTACGTACCCCCTGAGGCTTTCGAGACATGGGGCCTCCCGGACCAAGTGGAGGCGTCTGAAGGCCTCACGGAGCTTGTCTTGGGGCGTCCCGCAAGCCTGACCACGCGAGACTGGATCCTAAGCAAGCTAATGTCTGTATCTGAAAGCGTTCAGAGTTTTCCCGGGAGGACTGCGAGCCCATTTGCTGCATTCCTTCGGGCATGGAGGACACATCTCGGGGGTCGTGAGTCGATTTGAGTGGCAGTGCGGCATCACATGAGGGCTGCCGATCCGTTGGTATTTGTCCTGGCCCATTTCGGAAGTATTGTCGGTTGTCTTGATCGTATGCCGACCCAGTCTCACCTCAGTCTCGGTCATTGTTGGACAGCCCGAGTGTTTTTGCATGACCTCCCAGCAGGAAGTTTTGCAACGACTCGGAGTAGTGAATGAGAGCGCATCGGTCTAAGACTCCGAGATGCCTGGCGCCCACAGACACGACTCGAAAACAAGCGAGGACATAATGCAGTTGCCAGCCTGACACAAGCAAACTCGTCACCGTGCCAACGCAGCATCGAAATGCACGGAGGACGCCCCGACTGACCAGTGTCAGTACGTAGGGCACGCAGAATTGGTTCATTGCTCATGGGAGGAGCGGACAGACGGCAACAGGGGCAGGAAGGGGGGCACGAGGGGCAGGACGTTTGCCCCCCCTGCGCTTACAGGGCCTTCGTTAGGCGGGCTAGCGGCGGCGTTCGCACAGCTGCCGTCCGAGCAGCCCTGCGCGCGCAACTCGTTTGTTAGCTTCTCTGCTGTCGGAGATGATCACTGGTACTACTCAGCACTTTTTGACCTGAGCGTGCACACGCACGCACACACAGATATATATATATACACACACATACAGATGTAGATATAGATCCCCTGACAATCGACGCCGTCCTGATTCGTTCACGCCCATGGCCCCAGAGCTCGCGACCACATCCTCTGGGCAATGTGTCTGCCGCGGGTCGGCTTGATTGTCCTGGGGGCCGATTCTGGGCCCTGGGTGTCGACGTCGTGAAGAAGCGCACGTCGAAATGTTCTCCCAGTGCCCAGGGGTATTGGAGCGGCGCTGCCGCTGTCATCGATGTGTCTTGCTGCTACTGCCACCGCTGCCCCTGGCCCACCGCGAAGGTGCGTACACGCATGGCGCTGCAGCACGTGGGGCCCCAAGAGGGCGACGACGCGCGAGGGAACACCATGGGGAGGGAGTGTCGTGGAGTAAAGGGTAGGAAGCGACGAGGAGGAGAAGGACGAGGAGGAGGAAGAGGAGGAAGAAAAGGAGGAGGCAGGGGGAGGACTGATCGTATTCCGAAGCGCTGGGTGACCAACAACAGCAGCTGGAGAGCAACCACACTAGCAAGCATCATACTTGCATCAGTTTGGGAACCAATGCAGATGAACCGATGAGAACATTTGTACTTTCTGGATCCAAAGATAAACAAAGGGGGCGTAGCATCAATAGCAACTATGGGAAGATGCAGACCAGCACAGAACGTCTGTCGAAACCTGGGGCACCACCAACAAAATAGTACCACACATATGCGCAAAAAAACCGCCAACCGCAGGATCTAACATCTCACCACGCTACGCCACGCAGCGCAACACAACAGCACCCCTGCGATATGTTAACACCGCAGGCCAACTTGAAATCGATTCAATCGAGCACATGACAATTACCCTCATCTACGACAATTTACCATTGTCGGCGATTGTCGACATTGACGTTTGCCCCTCCGGACACCACACAAACACAGCAACAACAATCATGTGCATCAGTTGCATTAGAATAGCGACACCATTGCGAGACCGGCCTTGCCGAAGCAGGTGTAGATGCCACTCACACACAGTTTAACCGAGCACGGGCGATAATAAAGTGCCCCCCTTTCCGCCTCTATGTTTTAATCCCCGTCCAACATGCTTTAATTGTGGAGATAGGCGAGGAGGCCGCACTTTATAATCCACGGGGACAGTTGCGAATCGAAATTGCTATCATCTCGTGCTGACCACCAGCAGCATCGGAAATGCTGAGCAGGGCCATGGTGGTCTCACCACACCAGCGTCCGCAATCCCGAGCGTGCGACAGGGATGTGGGATTCTCACCAGTTCAGCTTGCCCAAGTTACGAGCGTGCGGCAGGGCCATGTGATTCTCATTGTCTCAGCCGTTCCCGAGTCAGGAACGTGTGGCAGGGCCATGGGGGCGCTCATGCCATGGAGCGCGCGGCAGGGCCATGGGGTACTCTTGTTCTTAACCGTTCCCGAGTCAGGAACGTGTGGCAGGGCCATGGGGACCGATTTGGTTTTGACTGTGCATGCGTTTTTTTCGAGCAGGCATAGTACTGGAGTCAATTATTTTTTTAGCGCACCCATCACACGGTTCGTGGCCCTTCCTCCTCCTCCTCCTCCTCCTCCTCCTTTTCTCTCTCTGTCCCCGCATCTGACCAGGCCCGAGCTTCCCCGAGTCTCCGAGATTCCAAGCTTCCGAGCTCCTTCGAGGCGCCGAGCCTCTTCGCCCCAGGGGCAGCGATAGGGGGACAGGCATGCCGAACCTGCCCAGGAGCTTGCGGATTCACGATCGGGCGCGCATCGCCGATGCATCGGCGATGTATCGCCGATTCCAGATCGATGCCCCACCCCCAATGCCTATCCCCCCACATCGTTGCCCCTGGGTGCGTCGCGAGCCTCGGCCATGTCCAGGGCCGCCGAGCGCGCCGCGGCGGCGAGCCTCCCCGTCGAGGCCCTCAGGAACGTCGTGACCCCGAGCCCGAACTCGAACGATATCCTCGAACGCATGGCCAAGCAAGACGAGAAGATCCTCGACGAGCTCGCGTTCATCGCGGACAAGATCGCGATCAACGAGATGTGCCAGTGCCAATCGAGCGCGCAAGGCACGGACGCAGCGAGGATGGCGGCTTTTTTTCAAGGCCGAGAGCGCCTTGTGGTCAGGCCGCGCCCAGCAAGCCGCCCTCGAGATGGTCTACAATGGCCGGTCTCTCAAGAGCATCGAGTATGGCCTCATCTTCAACGGGAAGGACACGAGGCGCATCGAGCTGGCCGTGGCGTTGTTCTACGAGGCCCACTGCGAGAATGACGAGCACGTCTACAACATTTTCGAGAACCACGGAGAGCCGCCCGAGGACCTTTTCTGGCTCGCGCCGGGCGTCAAGGCCAAGGTGCACGATCTTGCCGAGAAGAAGGACATCGAGCTCGGCGCCGAGTGCGCCAAGGGCCTCGCCCACGGCTCCCACGCCGAGCGCGTCGGCAAGGCCCCCCCCCGACATTCCCGCCGAGCTTCTCCACCTCCACGACCTAGTGCTGCCGATCCACAAGAAGTTCGAGCCCGTCGAGCACTGGGGCGAGGGGCCCTCCGGCCATGCCGAGTTCCGAGCAAGGCCGAGCGGCGCGTCAAGCGGTGCCGCGACAGCAGCGTGATCTCGAGCAGTGACGGGACCGCCAAGGCCACTACGCAAGCGGTCGCCAAGCGGCGCTGGGCCGTCGAGAGGACAGCCGACATGAGTGACGAGCTCAAGGGGCGGAGCTACCAGGACAAGCGCGCCAAGCTGGGCTACTCGGAAAACGTCAAGCAGCAGGAGTTCGAGACAACGCCTCTCGACAAGCACATCGCGCTGAATTTCAAGGCGCTCGCCCGGATCCACGCCGATTACGACCGGTTCACCGCGGGCGAGCGCGAGGGCGAGAGGGGCCAGGCCGACGCGAAGGCCGAGCCAGAGACCTCCCCGCTCACGCTCGTGGGCGCCTGAGAGCCCGGCGCGCGAGCGCCCCGAGCCAGGCGCCCCCGTGCGTTTCGCTACGAGGGCGCCGTTTCGAGGCGCGCGCTCGAGCCCCATCTGCTCTTCAAGCTCCATGAGAGCGTTCGAGCACGCGCGAGTGGCGTTTCAAGCTGCGGGGCGCTACTCCCCCCCCTCTCGCCGAGTGATCTTCGATCATGCATCGAGCAGTCAAGCGGGCTCGATCGCCCGTCCTCGGATCGAGGGCCCGAGATCTTGAGCCTGAGCATGTACGAGCACCTTGGGTCCTAGATCCGAGGATCGCCAGCCTGAGACACGAAGATCTCGGGTTCGTGATCCGAGGATCGAGGATCGAGCCTCGGCGATCATCGATCGCCACCGTCACTGTCGCTCGGCCCAGGCCGCCACCAAGGAGGCTCGATCCTCGGATCCAGGATCCGCGATCTTGGTTCCAGCATCTTCGAGCGCCTTGGATCCTAGATCCGGGGGTCGCCAAGCTTGGGCTCGAAGATCTCGGGCTCGCTATCCGAGGATCGAATGTCGAGCCCCGGCGGAAGTAGATCGCCTTCGTCTCCGTCCTCGGGCCCGCGCTGCCATCGAGCAGGCTCGATCCGCCATCCTCGGATCGAGGGTCCGAGACCGTGGTTCCAAGCGTCTCTCAGCGCCTTGGACCCTTGATCTCAGGATCGCAACGCCTGGGCTCGAAGATCTCCGGTTGCGACATCCGAGGCCCGAGGATCGAGCCCCGGCGATTGTCGATGTCTTTCGTCGCCGTCCTCGGGCCCAGACTGCCGTCGAGCAGGCTCGACCGTTCATCCTCGGATCGAGGGTCCGAGATCTTGGACTTGAAAATCTGCGAGCACCTCGGATCCTAGATCCGAGGGTCGCCCAGCTTGGGCTCGAAGATCTCGGGTTCGCTATCCGAGGCTCGAGGGCCGAGCCTCGGCGATAGTAGATCGCCCCTCTCGCCGCCCTCGGGCGCTCAGGCCGCCGCCGAGGAGGCTCGATCCTCCAGCCTCGGATTGAGGGTCCGAGATCTTGTCCCCAATCAACTCTGAGCGACTTGGGTCCTAGATCCGAGGACAGCAACGCTTGGACTCGAAGATCTCGGCTTCGACATCCGAGGCGAGGCTCGAGGATCGAGCCTCGGCGGTTGTCGATTTCCTTCGTCGCCGTCCTCGGGCCCGGACTGCCGTCGACCAGGCTCGACCATTCATCCTCGGATTGCGGATCCGAGATATTGGTGTTGAGCAGCTGCGCGCACCTCGGATCCTAGATCCGAGGATCGCCAAGCTTGGACTCCAGGATCCTGGGTCCTCGGTCTGAGGATCGAGGGTTCAGCCTCGACACCTGGCGGTCACGCGCACGCGCGCAAACGCGCGCGCGCACAAACGCACACGCACGCGCACACACGCACACGCACACACACACACTCGCACACTCGCACACTCGCACGCACACACACTCACATACTCTCACACACACTAACACACACTCACGCGCACAACAACACAAACACAAACAACAGCAGCCACGACAGCAACAGCAACCACCAAACCAGCAGCAACAGCAGGGCAGAACAACGACGAGACAATAACAAGAGAACACACAACAGCTGCACAAACACCAAACAGCAACAAGACAAACAACACTATTAAACACAACAAGGCAAACAACAACAGCAACAATACACACAACAATAGCAACAAACAGCCGTGGCCAATTTAGGCTCAAGCAGTCCAAGCCAGCTGAGGACGCAGCACTCCATGGCGAGTCGGACCGACGAATGTCGGCCTTTCGCGGAGCGGTCGGACGACGAGAGCGTCGGCGAGTGGGCGCAGGGCGACGAGTGGACGAGGGAGACGCAACCCACCGCGCTGGAGGAGGACGGCAGCAAGCCCGAGGACAGGAGCCTCGAGGACAAGAAGCTTGAGCACTAGAAGGTCAAGCTCGAGGTCAAGCCGGATGAGGTGAAGGTCAAGCTGGAGGACAAGAAGGGCCCCTGTAAGTTCGAGGACAAGAGGAACGAGCTGGAGGTCAAGCTCGGCCCTGAGCAGACGCGCAGGCGCCTCCGCAAGCCCGCAACGACGAGGCAGTGCGATGCCTCGCATTCGGCGCCAAGCCCTGCTTCGCTTCCAGCCTCGGCCCCGAGCCCTGACTCAGCCTCGAGGCGCCTCGCGAGCCGCTGGGAGCTCTGAGCGAGGTGCTTTCGAGCCGAGTGAGGGCGAGGTGCTGGGGGCTCTCAGCGAGGCGACCCCCGGCCTCGAGGGCGCCAGAAACAAGAGGAAGGACATGACAGGTGCCAGAGAACAAGCGCGAACAACATGCGAACACGAAGACGTGTCAACGACAAGCTAGCAGCAAACGCTGACAACGAGAAGGCGACACCAAGCAGCAAACAAGGACGCGCC